GGAATCAGTGGGCCGGGGTCCTGCTGGGTGTCCTTGGGAGGGCCGCACACCCTCTCTGGTCCTGCCTCCCCACCTGTATCAAGACAGTTTGGACAAGCTGGTGTCTGGCTCTACTGAAGGAACGTCAGGGTCTTGTGTGCGGCGGCCAAATCCATCCCCCGTGCCCTGGGCCTCAGACTGCCCCTTCCCCGAATCGTCGCTCCCTGGGTCTGCCAGAAGGGCCGATGCAAGCCCCGGGGTTGCCCTTGCTCAACCCAGCCTGAGGTGTCTTGTCGCTCCAGGTGACCCAGACGCTGCAGTGGGCCGTTCGCAGCTGGACAGACCTAGAGGGCAGCATCGTGTCCGTGGAGCGGATGAGGGACTACGCGCGGACGCCCAAGGAGGTGACGGGGGCAGATGGGGCGGGGCTCGTGCCCCGGAGGGATGTACAGGGTGGGCAGAGGGCCCAGGCTGACATCTGTGGGCTGTGGAGTCTGCACCCTCGTCTCCCCGCACTCAGCCCGACTGCCGTGGGCCGGGGTGGCAGCAGGGGCTAAGAGCACGCCGTCTGGCGCCAGGTCAAATCCTAGTTGCTTTGCTTCCCAGCTTGAGCTACACAGGTCACCTGTTGAGTGACAGGCGACCACAGGGACAGCAATGTAGCCGTAGCCACATCAGAACGGCAAGGTAGCGGCACTGTGATGGTAGCACGATAGCATCCTTCCAACAACGTGACAGTGACATCGTAACACAGCAGCAACACAGCAACGTCACAGGCCTGGGTTTACCGGGAGGATCAAGTGACACCCTGCAGTGATGGGCTCAGCAGCGTCTGGCCCAGTGTAACCGCTCAGCGCGTGTCTACTGCTCTCATGAGCCCCATTGCACAGATTAGGAAACCAAGGCTCAGGGGACGGAATGATCCGTTCAAGGTCACAGGAGCAGCAGACGGCAGCATTGGTCTCCGTGCTACACAGTCCTGTCCTCTTCACAGAGAGAAAGGGGTGTGTTCACTCCCACTATAGGAGAAGAGAATATTACTTGACCACAGACAGCGAGCAGCTGATGATAAAAGGTTAAAGGTAGCCAACATCCCCATTATTTTTATTATACCAGATACTTGTTCTCAGCACTGCTGTATTGCATGTCCTGTCTTGTTTAATTCCCATAACAACCCTGTAAAAATAGCAATAAATATGCCCATTTTGCAGAAGAGGAAACTGAGGCTCAGAGAGGTGGGCCATCTTGTGAGAACCCTTGGAGGAAGGTACCTCTGACCCGGTGTCCCCTCCTGCTCCAGGCCCCCTGGAGGCTGCCCACCTGCGCAGCTCGGCCCCCCTGGCCTCGCGGCGGGCAGATCGAGTTCCGGGGCTTTGGGCTGAGATACCGACCCGAGCTCCCGCTGGCCATACGGGACGTGTCCTTCGAGATCCCCGCGGGAGAGAAGGTGAGCGGTTCTCCCACACCGTCCTCTTCACGGAGGGCAGACCCTAGGGCCCCAGGGTCCGGGCCCTGGGCACCAGCCACCTCCTCAGTGTCCCCACCCCAGATCCACCACACCCTAAACTGGAGTCCTCATCTTCCCCAAGCCTGCTCTTCCATGTGGTGACCGCTCAGGAAGAGGTGTCCCCAGATGAGGAGTCCATTCCCCAACTTCCTTCTTCCAGTAACAGTGACTGAACACCTAGTTCGTGCTGGGGAACATGCTAAATGTTCCACATCCATTATCCAGTTTGCATGGCGGGGGGATGGTTTCCCGGCTTTGCCAGGGGTAGCCTTGGGCAAGTCACTGCATGTCTCAGTCTCGCTTTGCCCATCTGTAAAATGGGAATAATAACGTCAGCCTCATGGAGTTATTGTGAAGTCTGAGGTAATGCATCCAAAGTGCCTGGCTCCTAGCAAGTGCTACAGAATGTTTACTAAGGCTTTTATTGTTTACATTTTACCTCTCACGACAATCCCATTTTACAGATGCCCAGCCAGGCCCCTGCACTGAAGCCCTCTCCTCCCTCCCCACCTACAGACACTTCCTCCCTGTCACCCTCGCTGTCCCCCCTCTAGGCTCCCAACAGATCCTGCCTCACCACCTCCAATCTGCTCTCCTGTGGTCTTTATCAGCATGAGTGACACAGCATGTCATTCCCTTGCTCAAAGCCTGCCAGCTCCCAGCTTCCTTCGGGGGGAAGTCTGAATTTCTGAGGTTGCCATTCAAGGCCCTGCCCAGCCAGGCTCTGCCCACCTCCCTACCTCACTCATTACTCTGCCAGGGCTTAGCCAGCATGTGTGGAGCAGCTGCCTCTGGGCACAGGGGGGCACAGGGTGCTGTAAGCTCAACGAGCTTCTGCTCTTGCAAACACGCTTGGTGGGGTTTACCTGGAGTCTCCCCCCTCCCTGAACTCCTGCTCATCCTTCAAGACTCCACTCAAGTATCCCCTCCTCCATGAAGCCTTCTCTGATTACCCCCATCGAGTCCCATTCCAGGCAGCAGGAACCGTACCTCCTTTGCTTCCCTCATTGCTACAGGTCCCGAGCATGAGCGGGGGGTGCTTGTTTCTCGCACTGTATTAAAATTAGGTTTACTGAGTTGCACTGTTTCCTAGACCAGACCACAGGGGAGGAAGGACCCTTTGATTTCTGTATTCCTGGTGGCTAAACGTGTGCATGGTATATGGTGGGGTGACCTGCATGTTTCGTTCACTTATGAATCAAACAGTGTGGAACCTCCACCACGTGTCAGACACTGAGGCTACGAGAGCAGCAAGCGAGAAAAGGATGGGCAGAGGGATGGAAGGATGAGGGGTAGACAGGATGCAGGATGAAGGAAGGATGGACGAGGAATGGAGGATGAAAGAAATGGATGGATAGGGCAGAAGAAAGGATGGGAGATGGGTGGATAGGAGGAGGAGGAGGGATGATGAAGGGGTCGGGTAGAAGGATTGGGAAGGAGGGAGGAACAGAAGGAAGGGTGGAGGAATAGAAGGAAAGACGGGAGAGCTGTCAGGACGAGGGGAAGACAGAGAAGAATGCACAAATGGAAGGATGGATAGAAGGGAGGATGAGTGTTCACAGGATGATGGATGGACAGATCTTGGATACGGGGAAACCACCCCAAATAGATGCCCACAAACCCTCTGGGCTGTGGCCTGCCTTCCTCTGGCTGGTCCTGGTCAGAGCTGGCCTTGCCCCCTACCTCCTGGCAGGTGGGCATCGTTGGCAGGACGGGGGCTGGGAAGTCCTCCCTGGCCGGGGGCCTGCTGCGGCTCCAGGAGGCAGCTGAGGGGGGGATCTGGATCGACGGGGTCCCCATTGCCAACGTGGGGCTGCACATGCTGCGGTCCAGGGTCACCGTCATCCCCCAGGTGAGGCTGGCAGAGGGGGGTGGGCAGGGGTGGGAGGCGCGGTGGGGCCCTGCCCTGACCTGCCGCTGGCTGCCAGGACCCCATCCTGTTCCCCGGCTCTCTGCGGATGAACCTCGACCTGCTGCGGGAGCACACGGACGAAGCCATCTGGGCGGCCTTGGAGACCGTGCAGCTCAAAGCTCTGGTGGCCGGTCTGCCCGGCCAGCTGCAGTACGAGTGCGGGGAGCAAGGCGAGGACCTGAGGTACGGCCGCCCCACCAGGGCCAGGACCTGCAGGGGGGTGGGGGCGGATGGCCAGGCTCTGCGGCCCCCGGAGGATCATCAACCCCATTCTGCTAATAATCACACATCCCTTTTCTGCAGTTCCAAACTCCAGCACGGTCTCTGATTACCAAGTTCCTTTTTCCCAAATTAGTAATAGCTTCCTAAATTTATTTGGTGGCAAAACCCAACCTTGACTGACGTGACGCTACTTACAGTCTTTAGTTATCCTGCTCAGCATTTAAGTATTTAATTCGCTACAAAAATGTCATGTTTGACATTGGGTGCTAACCTCACACCCACTGGGGCTATCTTTTTTTAAAAAAAAATTTTAAATGTGGAAAAATACACATAAAATTAAACATCTCTATATTGTAGAAATTGGCAAAAAAATTTTTAAAAGTTAGCCATCTCAACCATTTTTAAGCATATAATTCAGTAGTGTTGGGTGCATTCACATTGTTATACAACAAAACAAACTATGTCCCCATTAAATAATTCCCCATTTCTCTCTCCTCAACGCCTGGCAGCCTCCATGCTACTTTCCGTCTGTCTCCGAGTTGGACCACTCTAGATAGCTCATATAAGTAGAATCATACGGTATTTGTCTTTTTGTGATCACTTTATTTCACTCGGCATGATGTCCTTGAGGCTTAGCCATGTAGGATGAGTCAGAGTTTCCTTCCTTTTTGAGACTGAATAGTCCACTACCTGGATAGATCCCATTTCGCTTATTGGTGCATCCATCAATGGCTGTCTGGGTTGCGTCCACCCAATGCTGCTGTGCTCATAGGTGTACAGGTTGTGCCTTTTTATAAACCGAGATGTTCTGGACTCAAACCCGTCTGCCCCTGTGGACCTGGGGAAGGTAACGGCTTCCGGCACTAGCGACAGTGTCGCTGGCGGGGTGAGAGCATGCACAGCCAGGCTCCCCCACTTCCCAGTTGTAGGACCTTGGGCAAGTTACTTAATCTCCTGTGCCTCAGTTTCCTCATCTGTGAAATGGGAATAAAAGCACCTACCTACCTGTGCAAGGATTAAGTGAGTTATATTAAGCGTAAAGTTGTTGAAATGGTGCCCGACACGCAGGAAACACTGAATATTAATCCTTGGAGCCACACTCTTGCATTCCAGTCTCACAGAGTTGGAATCTGTGCCCGAGACTTGCCCGGGGGCACCCAGCTTGTCAGTGGTGAGGCTGGGGCAGGGCCCAGCCACCCTGACACCTGCGCAGACACGGTAGGTTCTGATTGTCGCAAGAGACGAGCTTTGTGGAAGGGGCTGCTACGCGGGGAGGCAGAGCATGGCGGGGAACGGCCCGGCCACGCTGGGGCCAGTTCCCATCACGGCCGCATGACCTTGAATCTCAGCTCCCCCCAACCCCGTAATTAGGGGACACTGCTTCATGCCGAGGGCTTACCTGTGACAAGCACACGCCTGTACATGACTTATCTCCACAACTCAGCGAGGAAGTGTCCATTAAGAGCACAGATTCTGGCGTCAGAGGACCTGGGTTCCAATTCAGGATCCACCATTAACTCTGTGACCTTGGGCGAGCCACTTCATCTCCCTGTGCCCGTTTTCCCCTCTCTCAGAAGAAGGGAAGAGAATATTATCTACCTTTGCAGTCACTTTGAGGATCAAGCCAATCTATACCCAAGCACTTAGCATATGTCTGGCACATGGTGAAGCTCATAGAATGGAAATAGCCATGAATAGAAAGAGAAAACGGCCCTGTCACAGGCAGGGAAACTGAGGCACAAAGGGTTTGAATGACTTGCCTAGAGTCAGCCTGCTCGCAGACGGCAGGATGGGGATTCCTACCCGCTGTGTAGACCGCGGACCCCACTGTGGGGGTGCACACGCACGGGCACCCCGTTTCTGCGTCGTCACAAACCCACGCGTGAGCACGCCCTGTAGGTCGTGAAGTTCGGGCAAACGTCTGGCCTAATCGTTCCACTTGTTCCCAGTGTGGGTCAGAAGCAGCTCCTGTGTCTGGCACGTGCCCTTCTCCGGAAAACCCAGATCCTCGTCCTGGACGAGGCTACGGCTGCCGTGGACCCCGGCACGGAGCGGCAGATGCAGGCCTCCCTCGGGCGCTGCTTTGCCCGGTGCACCGTGCTGCTCATCGCCCACCGCCTGCGCTCGGTGATGGACTGCGCCCGGTAAGGCCCCGGCCACGCGACGCAGAGCGGGAAGGGCCCTGACTGGGACGCGCGCCCAGCAGGTGTTCTGACCTGTCCGTTGGGGTCAGGAGGCCGCACAGAAAGCGGGACTTCCGGGGGGCAAACCTCAGCCCAGATGTGCGGAGCTCTCAGAGCTGCCACGTGCCTGGGCCGGTGGCCAAAGAGCTGCCCCGTCTCCCTCTCTCCTGCAGGGTGCTGGTCATGGACGAGGGGCAGGTGGCCGAGAGCGGCAGCCCAGCCCAGCTGCTGGCCCAGAAGGGCCTGTTCTACAGGCTGGCCCAGGAGTCAGGCCTGGTCTGAGCCAGGCCCCTCAGCCGGTCCCCCGCTGGGCGAGCCCGCAGCGCCCTGGAGAGGCAAGTGACACGGCGTCATCGGTGGCGCCACGCAATGTTGAGTCTAGATCCCTTTGCTCTCTGGGAAGAAAACAGAGAAAGCGGCTGCTTATCACAGAGCATCAGACCTCGGAGGACACGGGGCCCCCCAGCCCTGTCCACCTGGGGCCACCGTCGCAGCGGCACTCAGCCCTGGCTGTCCCTGGACTCACCTGGGGCCCCAAGGACGCGCCTGTGCCAGGCGCCCCCACCCCACCCATTCTGTCAGAGTGCCCGGGGCTGGGGGCGGCGATAGTGCGTGTACTTTTTACAATGTAACCTTTTATTTTGGGATAATCCCAGATTCATACGCAAGTGGTCAGAAGAAACAGACACCTTTAGCCCGTCTCTTCCAGAGGTGACCTCGTGCAAAACTCTAGTCAGTGTCACAGCGAGGACCTGGACCTTGGCACAATACACCAGTCTGCTCGGGCTTCCTTCTTGCACTCATTTGTATTTAACTCCACAGGTTTATCACGCGCTCGGGCATCCACCACCAGGGTGAGGGTACGCGACGGCCCCGTCCCCACAAAGGTCCCTCGTGTGGCCATTTTTTAACCACACCCACCTCCCTCCCGCCTTGACATCAGCTGACTGGTTCCCCGTGGTGGCGTGGCTCCCCCACTCCAGTGCGCAGGGAGGACCGAGAGCCACTGCCCGAGCCTCCTGCTCTGCCCAACGCCCCCGCCCCGAATGAGCCCCAGCGACACCAGCCAGGTCCCCGCTCCGAGATGGGCCCTCCCTGGGCAGGGGCAAGTACTTTGCGCATGTTCTGTTCCCAACACCAAACGGAGGAGCCAGGACTGCGCGGCCCCCACTGGGAGAATAGGCCCAGGACTTGGCTCATGTCACCCACGGGGTTGCTAAAGGCCAAATGTCAGCTGCCTGGCGGAGCCGCAGCAGCCGGAGTGTCTCTGTTCACACTCGTGCTGCAGACGCCGTTGGGTCCGAGGTCAGACCCAGCGGGAGGTGGGGCACTCTCTGTCACCCAGGGCCATCGATGCAGTCATTCCTCACGCCCGTTTCTGGCGGGAGTCGGAATTCGGACACCGGACTCCAGGCCAGCTTCGGGAACGAGGGAAGAGGAACTAAGCCTAAAATAGCCACACCTGAGGTCTCACGGAGCTCGCCATGAGGGGCAGCGTGAGACATAAGACAGCGCCCTGGAGCGTGACACAATGCCGGCCAGGGCTGCTCACTGACCTGGCATCGCTGCCAGGAGAACGTGTCCACACGTGGAAATGTGTCCACGGGGAGCAGAGGAGGGGACAGACCAGGCTTGGCCGTAACACCACTGACACGTGGGGCCAGACGACTCTCTGCTGTCCTGCGCACCACAGAACGGACAGCCGCATCCTTGCCCCTAGTCGCTGGACGCCGGGAGCAGACCCCCTACCTCCCACAGTGGTGACAAAAGTACCTTCAGACACAGTCATGTCCCCCAGGGGGTCAAAGTCACCAGGTTGAGACTCACTGGTCACCCTGCACCAGTGCCATGGATAACCCTGGACTCGGGCAGTAGCTGTGCTGGTGCCGGGAGGGGCCGTGGACACCCACCTGCTCTCCAGGACGCAGGGCCTGCTGTGCCCCAGCAGGGCGGGGGCTTCGACGGCCCCTCCTGACAGAGATTTGTGATCCCCCCTTGGGCGCAGGGTAATCTGACTCCAGATCTCCTTGCAGCTTCTACCTCCTCTGGCCATGCTGCGGCCAGCAGCTCGCGAGGCCACCTCCAAAGCGAGGCAGGGGGTCCACGGCCTTCACTGCCCCCAGTCGTGCCGCAGGGCCCTGGGCCCTCGAGGACTTACCTGCTGTTGGCTCCGTTATGCAGGGGAGGAAACCGAGGCTGGGAGAGTTGACATGACTTGCCAAGGTCACCCAGCTAGTAAGTGGCAGAGTGGGGACTGCTCCTGGGCATAGCTAGTACCGAAACCCGAGTCATCGCGACCGGCGTGTCCGTCCTTTAGAGAAAGAAGGTGCCGGATGCAGCCCTCGTCTCCCCTCCCCCTGCGGCTCAGCTGCACCTCCCCTGCACAGACACCGCGGGCGGAGTCGGCTGTGTTTGACAAACTCAGCTGGGCTGCTCCAGGGCCACCAGAGAGCAGCGTGTGGGCCACAGTGGCTGGCACGTGGGAGCAGGAGCCTGAGAGTCCTGCTAACGGGGCTGCTGTTAGGCCCACACCATGGTGGCCTGGACACCAGCCAGCAGGGCCACCCGGGCCATCAATCCCCCCGCCATGGGCTCTGGCCAGCAGGGCCCAACAGGGGCGGAACACAGGTGAGACCCAGCAGGGCCACACGCTGACCTTCCTGGGCCAGCGCTGCCCAGTGGGCTCTTCATGCACCACGTCCACCTGTCAGTGCCACACACGGCCGCGCCAGACACTGCTCTACACACTGGGGCAGATCCCCCAGTCGGCTGTCGCCACCAGAGGAGGCGGCACCGTCAACTGGGCCCCTCCAGTGAGGAAGGTGCTACCACCACGCCATTTTCACGGATGTCCTAGGATTAGGCCATTAGGCCCCTTGGACAGATAAGGAAACTGAGGCAGGGTGTAAGGTGTCTCTGCCCCAGGCCATCTGGCTTCAGAGCCCGCGACCTTACCGTCGGGCCACGCGGCCCCTTCCTGAGCTCCAGGACATCAGCTCACTGATGAGAACTGAATTCCCCTCTGGAATCCGCCCACGAGGATAGAGGTAGGAAGGGGCTCCCTTTCCTCCTTGAGCCGAGGGACTCGTGTGTGTCTGTCCACTGCGTTTCCCCAGCACCCGGCACAGCGCACGGGCTCAGTACATGTGGACTGTGTGACGGGAGGGAGGGAGGAAGGGACAGATGAGTGACCACCGTGTGTGAAGGTGTCCTCAGGGCCGGGCACAGTGCCAGGTGCCCTTCCTGACCTGCTTTCGTCCTCACGAGCACCCAGCGGCAGGATGCGATGGCCCGGCCATGCTGACGAGGGAGCTCGGCTCGGGAAGGGCCACGTTCCCGCCGAGAGGCCCCAGTGACTCCGACTCAGCCCGGGGCTCCGTCCCCGGCAAGGCAGCCAGTTGCTACTGAGCTCTCGGGCAGGGATTCGGCGCTGGTGGAGCTGCCATTCTGGAACAGACAGGGAAGAGGGAGCGCCCTGGAAGAACACTATGGGGCCCATGTGGTAGCCAGAGGCAGGTGCTGGGGACAGAGACGGCAGGGACACGGGGGACGTGACGGAGGAGCTGGGTATTTTCATGGGATCCCCGCGGCTGCCGGGCCGAGAGCAGAGCGTGGGCGGGGCAGCTGGGGGCAGGAGCACCCAGGAACTGCCAGAGACCCGCTCAGGATCTGACCTGGGACCGAATGCTCAGGCTCAGGCTCTGCGACAGAGACACGTCCCACGTGTGAGGTTGAGACCCCCACCTGCAGATCCAAGGACCACTAATCCTGACACTCGCGGCCTCACGAGCTTCTTACTGGGCGTCTTCGTACGCTGTGGTCCCTGATGTGAGCCGACGACTCAATCGGACAGCACCGCCCGGGGGAAAACTGGCGGTGCTAAAACGTCCCATCGCGCGTGGACTTGGGCGTGGTTTTAGGGTACGGCTGACACGGCTCCTCACAGGCATTCCTCACCGCCCAGACGCGCCCGATTCAAAGTCGGAAACCGAACACCCGAGTCTCACTACCCCACTGTCCCAAACTCGGACAGGGAGAAAGACTCCTCTTGCAGAGGCCCCCGCACGCCCGGCTTCCTCTGTGGCTTGGGGGAGGCCACGTGGCTCCTTTCGGCCCACGGCCCGTGAGTGGAACCGACCTGCCTCACTTCTGGTCCGAGCCGCTGAGAGTGAGTGTGCGCCGCCCACTCCCCCTTCCAATGTCAAAAGACCAGGACAGTCTGGGTCAGCGGCCACGTGGAAAGCAGCTACCCTGGAGAGGCACCCGACTCTCACCGAGAACTGCAGGAGCAAGAAACCAACCCTGCACCTCCCAAGATTTTACGGCTGATTTGTTACTGCAGCACGGCCTCACCTATCCTGATACAGAGGGATTTGCAAGAGTCATTCTGGCCACGTGGGATTTGCGACTCGGGTCCAGGAACCTGACCTGGGCCACATGGACCACACACACCGCCGCTCGATTCTGTAACAACCCCACGCAGTAGGCGGGATCAGCCTCCTCTTACAGACAGAGCAACCAAGGCACAGAGGCTAAGCTGACCAGGGTCACGCGACCAGCAAATGACCAAAGCGGGACTCGAGCCTAGCTCTGTCGGACCCTGAAGCCCCGGCTGCGTCCACCTGGCCCTTGTGCCGTCTCCCCACTAAACCCCACCTGACCCCCGACCTCTAGATGCGCCATTTCCGACAACACCCGCTGCTAGAGGCGGCACATTTGCCAAAGGGAGAGGAGAGCAGCAGATAGGAAGGTGCCTCCTCCTGACTCTATCAGAGGACGGGGCTGGAACCTCTGCCAATGCCCCAAAGAAAATGGAACAGTCATTTAGAAAGAAATAAAATATTTTTTTGTTACTGCAAATGTTCACATTTCCAGTGTAAATCATTACAAAAAGACCCCTCCCCAAGAAAAACTTGGTTTGTCTAATGTGAAAGAATGATATAACTTACAAAAAAATAAATATTTCCGCCTAAAAGAAAGATGCGCTCTGGGTTTGAAGTCAGCACGGTCACTCAAAGCGAGGTGAGCGCAGGGGCCGCACCTGGCGCTCGCTGCTGTCGGGGCCGCACACCCTGTTCTCCCACCGAGACACCTGAGCACGGGCTCCGGAGGACTCTGCTTCTCCATCTTCTTCCAGGAACACAGGGACCAAGTGCCAAACGCAGGCCCGGCTTTAGCTATTCCCTGGAGATGCTGCTCCCTGGCCTAATCCTTCCTTCCAAGAAAGTAAAGCCGTGAGACTCTCTCCTAGGAACGGCACTTAAAAAAAGAAAAAAAAATCACTGCTATTCGAGGATGGGTTCTCCTCTTCTTGTCCTTAGAAGAGAATTAGTAACTAAATGTCGAGTTCTCTGCCACGCCGCCCCTTGGCAGCTAACCGGATGCCAAGGTGAGAAATTAAAATCTAAAACCAAGACTCAAAGGGACTCTTTTGGTACCGACGGGGAATACTTGGGGAGTACGTCGTGCTCTTTGCTCCAGATGCATCGTAACCACTGGCGGACCTTCCTCTCTCGGGCACCTGGAGGGGAAAGAAAAGAGGCGGGGAGCGAGGGGAAGCCTGGAGTGTGGGGCAGGCGAGCCCAGCCGGGCAGTCGGCCCTAAGGGACGAGCCCCTGGCCTGGCGTCCACTAGTCCAGCCAAGTCCCTTCGATGAAGGCAGGTGTGTGGGTGCACAAGGCAGCCTCTGGCCTCTGAGGCGAGGCCCAGCGGAGGCAGCTCTGGGAGGTCGGTTCCCAGCATCTGAGAGCCTGGAAGACCAGCTGTTGGCAGGAGGATCATCCAGGC